ATCTAAAGACAGAATAATATGAACCACCTCTTTCCCTGTTTCATCTCTAACTCATCACTAATCTTTGGACGAAATGGAGGCATGAGATATAAGGTCTTAAGACCTTCTGAAGGAAGGTAGGCATAAATTAACATAGATGCAAATGTCCACACTGATTGTTGTCTGCACACATGCAATGCTTGCAACATTTGTTGTAAATGTTCAAAGTGTGCAAATACCAGATGAACAAGAGACAGATTCCATAACTAGAGACGGGTGCACGAAATGGATAACTTAAATGAATGAAATGGATATACTTAACATGCATAATAATACTATTGTGCAAATTGTATTGAAATTTGGGAGAGGGAAGGCAAAAATATGTATTTACCTGACTAATTTCTGAGGAGTAAAATTAGACTCCCACAAATGGTTGAAAATTGCTCCTTTCCATGTTGCTTTGAACTGGGTAACCCACTGATATTTTGTGTCTGACTCGGATGAAAACCCAGCAGGCCCCACTAAAATCAAATGCTGAACGTGCTCGGGATGCTATTACATAAATATAAATCAAGATCACAGATACAGAAACTGCCACAATCATTCCTAGATTCAAAGATCAATATGGAATAACAAATACCTTCAGAGCATACTTAGATGCAACGTACCCACCAAATGAATGCCCAAGTAATATAAAGTTGCTGAGGTTCTTGGCTTTTCGCCATTCTTCAAAAGAATCAATGAACCATGCCTCAGTTTCTGCATTGCCAATTGCAAGTTCAGAAACAAATGGAACATATTTCATTAGCATTCTTGCAAAATTATATCATATAAACTTTTGGCACTTGGCATAGTAAGTAATATTATAACTTGTGGCACAAATATTAATATCTAATGACAGTGTAAAACTACCTTCAGTGCTTTTGCATGTAAAATCAGGCCTGCTTGAACCGCCCCAACTGTAAAGAAGATTAAACCAAGGATTTGAGAACAAAATGTCTCATAAAATAGACCCCAGAAAGCACTACCCAACACAGTACAAAAGGTTAAAAATGTTTAACAGTAAACTTAAAGGGAAGCTGTGCATATTCATGCAGTTTTCGATATCAGAAGGAAAAGAAACCAAAGCAGGCAAACGAGTAGCTAATTTTGATGCAACTCCAAAATAAATGCCTGCAGACGGAACATCAGGGAGGGAGGTCTTTTATATACCAGCATCAACAGAGCTAGAACAATTTGTATCCCAATAAAGTCCATAGTAGATACTGACAACTTGGAATTGTAAAAGTTATGTTCCCTCATCATGGTGGCATAGATGTTTTAAGTTTTAAAAGTACAACCGAAAACAAAAAGGCCGGCTGCAAATTACGGAATGAACTTAAAGCATGACAACGTTAATAACAGCTCTGAAAGAAGGGTTACAACAAAACAAGGGAACATAGAATAAATTCCAAGTATCAAGATAAAAATAGCTCACCCAAGTTGATCAATGGCAATGACCCTGAACCGACTGGCAAGGGCATCAAAATTTCTAAAGAAGAAACCTTGAGAAGCACCATATCCGTGAATCATCACAAGAGTAGGAGAACCCTCTTTGCTGTCAAATGAAACCGTGTTGATACACCTTTCTTCATTGCTTTCAGATCGAAACCACCTCACTTTGGATCCAGGCGGTCCAGATCCTATATTCACCCCTTCTTGAACGTAAGGGGTCCTGCAAAATTCAAGAAATTCGCATAATTTGTCAAAATTCAACCTTTTGAACCGTTCAAAGGATTGAAGATGTTGCAACGTCAGAGCTTGATCAAACAAAACTCGTAAGAAAATTGAGAAATTAGGCAACTTCAAATTCAAATTAGGGTTGTTAGGAAAGAAATTCAGAAAATTCATCAGGGTCATGAAACTAACAAAATCACTAGTTTCCATTTCAGTACATTTCCAACCAAAAAACAGAAAAATCTGCAACCAAATGAACATGGAGGGATTGAAAGGAGAGAAACATAGGTGGGTTATGATTACTTGACAAGAGAGAGGAGGCGCTTCTCGGCGGCAATGATCTTATCGGTGGAGGTGGGGATCCAACGGAGGACAGAAGGCCAGATGGATTTTGATTTTAATTTTGCATTTTCTGCAGCAACAGCAGCAGTAGAAGAAGCAGCGGAGGTTTCTCGTTGGGCGGACCTGCTCATTTCGTCGGCCATTCTCGACGAAAGTCTACGCAGGTTCATACGCTTTCAAATGCGTTGTAATTTGGATTCGTCTGCGATTATAACCAACTACTTGTTTTTATATATGCCCCCGCTTCTTTGCCAATTTTCGCGCTTTATAGTCTCCAACGGAGACGGGATAGAAGAGCTTCGATTCTTTGAAGGCGGCCTGGGCAGTGCCACGTGTTAGGACCACTTACGTAATCAGTGATTCTATAATTCAATCAAATAAAGAGGCTGAGGGGAACCATGTAGGAAACAGAAACGAACTTACCAAGTTAGCTTGTTAACGAAGAACTGCGGAAAATTTAGCACCCAAAAAAATAAAGGAAATGCGGAAAATGTGTAAAAATATTTTGAGATATTTAGTCATATGCCCATTCTTAGCACTAAAACTACAAATAAACTCTAAATCATTTAATTTCTATAAACAAATCCAAAAAAACACCCAAAAAATGACAACTGGCCCTATTTAATTTAATTTTAATTATTAAATTACTTTGATGCCCTATTGAGTGTTTTGGGCTTTTTTTTATGAAGTTTTGGGGTTGTGTTTGTTTTAAGAAATTAATGATAGTTTTGTAATTTAAAAGAAGTTAAAAGCATTTTTTTTATGTTGTAAATGAATTTTAGGTGTGTTTCTAAAGTCCATTTCATATATGGTTTTTTTATAACTTGGGCTCCTGTAGTGGGTATAATAGTGAATCTCCCAAATATTTTTTGGGTCCAAAATTCCACCTATTTGTTGAATGTTGAAGCCATGCCATTGGGTGCTACTATAGAAGAACACAAGAAGGATCTTAGTTGCTGATTCCTGTTCTTGAAGATCCATCATTTGGGCTTTGTTTTCCAAAACTTATTTTCTTTTGCGGCCCAAAATCTTACAGTAGTTGAATGCTGGGCTCGATTCAAACACATAGAACTCCATAATCATTATTATATTACGTTCACTTCACCACTTTCATACACCAAACTCACAGTACAAAATGCACTCTTATGTTGTGTTTTGATGGACTACTTTCAAGTTCCAAACAACTTCAAAGTAACGGAATTTGTCAACTATCCTGTTTTGCTGATGTATTTAGTTGGGTGCAACTTAGTTCTGGGACGCAAAAGAGACAAAAACCTTCAGATAGAAGCATCATATTCCTTAGAAAACCATCCAACAACCAAACAAGAACAAAATCGAATCTCCAATTCTGATCATTAGTCCTTGAAAAGTCCATCATGTTCAAGAAATCAAAGAAACCCGATCCAATTTTGCATCTCAATAATTTGGATGAGAGATTTAAGTTTGAAGAAAAGGTCAACTAAGAGATCTGAGATCAAGGATGTAAGATTAGGAGCAGCTTCAACTCCCAAAAATGGCAGAAGATTGAACTGAAGATTGGGTCACAAGTCCCACTTAAAAGTTCCCTCTCATTTTCAAAATTCTGTTTTAGATTTTACTAATCAGGTTAGTTACATCATATGGAACTTCAGAACAAATCCAGAGAGGTAGAATAAGAAGAAATGAAATTAACAAAATGATACAGGCGGTATATATAATTTCCAACAAATTAATGTCAATTCGATTTCTCAATACAGGCATGGACTCATGAAACACAACTCAAACTTATTCAGAAGTACAACTAATTGCTAGCCCTATATCTACCTTTGGCGCATAAACACTACCAATCCACCTGGTAGACATCGACGGATCACTCACACCATACAAGAATCTGTAATGCACCTCCCAAAAAGAAACTACAACTTCAAACGAAACAGTAAAGTAGCTCTTAATAAACAGCAGCAACCCAACAAAACCACCTAGCACACCTTCTAGTCGGCTCTTGACTGACCCGATCGGGAAGAGAGAATGATGCCAACAATGAGACCGTACAGAGCAAGTGCTTCAGCAAAAATGAGAATGAGGATCATCCCAACAAAAAGCTTTGGCTGCTGGGCGTTGGCTCTGCATAGTACAAAAACACATTCAGAAGAGGAAACTTCCAACCAAAACGCGACAAGACTCCAAAATTGGTAACGCAAACTTTCAAAACAAATTTCGTGCAAAACTAAAAACATGGTAGTAAAAACTATGCTTAGCAGCGAACAAACTGCTAATATCCTGAACAATTCAAGCAAAATAAACCACATCAAACTCGGTTCTCAGACAATCAAATCGATATTCGCACTCTCAAGCATCTTAAACCAATACAAAACCTTTAATAATGGAGATTTGTATGCGCAAATGTAGAGAGTTTACCTAACACCAGCATCACCGACAATGCCAATAGCCATACCAGCAGAGAGGCCAGCAAGGCCACAAGCGAGACCAGAGGAGAGATGGGCGTAGCCATCGAAGAGGTAATAGGATTTGGCCTTGGGGTTGATGCCCGTACTGATGATGACGGCGATGATAAGGCCGTAGATACCCAGCACACCAGCCATAACCACCGGCACGATCGACTTCATCACCAGCTCCGGCCTCATCACTCCCATCGACGCCACACCTACTCCGCTCTTCGCTGTTCCGTATGCTGCTCCCATACCTGTAGACCATACAAAGAACGCGCTCGATCAAATCCCTGCGTCCGCATCAACAAAAACCCTAGATGGCTAGATTTGAACCAAATGAAAACATACATGAGAAAACGAGGGCCGCGGCGGCGCCGAGGAACCCAAAGAACGGTGCCGTTTCATCGCCGCTGAACGTTGAAGAAGACATTCTTCTCGATTTACGGACAAGATATTCTTGATCGGATCTGACCTCTGGAGTGATTGTATTCTTTTTTCTCTCTCCTCTCCGCCTATGCCTTTAAGCGTATGTGTTTCGCTCTCAGCCTCAAACAATAGGTAGGTTGCGTTATTACGATTTTACACCTGCTGTTAGAGGGCTCACGTGCGAAGAGGTGGCTGTGTAAAACATTTTGGGCTCACTATAGAATTCTTGCGTCTTTAATGAGTCATTCCATATTAAGTGATTATATATGGCCTTCAAGTGAGATTCTATTTCTTAATTGTTGAATTAGACTAACCAATTTGATTCAATAACTAAAAGATAAAACCTCACATAAAGGCATTAATAATATGAGTCAAAGATAGGCTTTATCAACGGCCCAACACGATTTAAGATTTTAGATTATTATAAATAAACCCAATCCTAGACATGTATTTATAAAAAAACTCACACACTATTTAAACATAGAAACACACCCAAAATCAACAATTGTATATTTTTTGGGTGTGTTTATAAATAGGTTTTGAGTGTGTGATGATGAGTTTTGGGTGTGTTTATAAAGTGTTTTGGGTGTTGGGTTTTTTTATAATTTCAGCCCCCATTTTGGGTGTTTTAGTGAAACCCCCTTAAGATTTACCATCTTAAAAGCTTGAGAATGCTTACTTGGGCCCAATTTTTGGGATTCTTTGTTTTTTCATATTTTATTATTAATAATTATTTTTTCGACAAAAATAATATTCTAAACTACACTAATCGATGAAGAGAGTGACTCAAACTTGGGTATAAGAAGGTAAGCACTACCCTGATGAACTAGCCTAACCCACCGCTGCAACACTTTTTGGATTCTAAAAAACCTTTTAACATTCCTTTTCTAATTTTTGGATACTTCAAATGCACATTTCAAATGAAATCCTTAACCTTATTTAATATTTGGGAGATTCACTATGAGTGCTGCTATTTCCACCCACCTGTCCTATTTTCCCACCCACCATGTAAATTTGAAAAAATACAATCTTATTTGTCCACCCACCATTATTTCTAAAATACCCTTTAATAGTGGAGGTCCTCCTTTTAAGCGAACAATTGAAATCTCAATAACTTATTCTAACCCATTAAACCCGTTAGAAAAAAAATCCATACAAAGTTAGAAACCCCCCATCCCAGTAATCTTTCATTTTCGTCACTATTGTCAATCGGTATGTGCAGCCGTATGCAATCGTGCTTGCATACTCCAGTCTGCAATAATTCAGATTTGAATTGGAAGCGAGCTTCTACTTAGCAGTCGAACTTTCTGGGATATAAAAGCTGAATCACAGATTTGTGAGTGGGAAGTGAAAATATGGATTTATTTAGTTTAGGTAATATTTATTGGACATCAGATTGGTTCCTTCAATGAACATCTTGGTTTACAAAAAAACAATCAATTCTTCATATGAGCTTTATGATTTACCCTTTATCTTTTTTACGAAGAAAATATTGTGTTATCTTTTTCTTTCAAATAATGGATTGGCTATGTAGGTCGAATGGGTAAAGAGGTCGGGAAGGGTAAAGGCTTGAGAGAGAAAGGAGAGCTTCGCCGTGGAATGGAACTAATGCGGGTTTTCGGGTTTTTTTTTCTTATACGGGTATGAATGATAATAAGTGATTAACCCTTGGATAAATCCAATGGATGTGATTAATTGGTCGCTGGTTTTTTCTCTAAGTCCTTAAAAGTCATTTTACAAAGGGATAAATTTGTCTTTAAAATTTTGAAAATAAAGTGAGTGGAAAAATAGGATAGCAGCACTCTTCACTATTATATCCAATATAGGAGCCCAAATTATAAAAAAACCTTATATGAAATGAACTTTAGAAACACACCCAAAGCCCATTTACAACATAATAAAGACTTTTAACTTCTTTTAAATTACAAAACTGTCATTGATTTCTTAAAACAAACCCAACTCCAAAACCTCATAAAAAAGCCCAAAACACTCAATAGGATATCAAAGTAATTTAATAATCAAAATTAAATTCAATAGGACCGGCTATCATTTTTTGGATTTTTTTTGGGTTTGTTTATAGAAATTAAATGATGTAAAGTTTATTTATAGTTTTAGTGCTAAGAATGGGTATATGACTAAATATCTCTTAATGTTTTTATGCAAAACATGTTTATTATTTTAAAACTCAACTCACTTTTTTTTTTCAATTTACGGTTGATTTTCACGAGAATTCATTTATTACAAATTACATGGCTATTGGAAGACTCCTGCAACCTAGCATTGCGTCCGTACGAGTTATTCCACGCAAAGCACCAAATGATTTGCTATCCGTCAGCAGCACTAGTTGTGAGACCAACAGAGGAGCAAACGAAGGTTTTTAAGTGAAGAAATGGCAT